AAGTCAGTGGCAGAAGTCATGCTTTGCACGCACAAGACTCTCAGAGGCACACACACATGGAAACACACACAGCAACACACACACACACACACACACACACACACACACACACACACACACACACACACGGATGCCAGCAACAGCTGGAACTGTCTGTGAGATTCCTCATTTTTTCCCCATCAGGCCCTACAGTTTCTCCGGAAGAATTCTGCTAAGTATCACTTCAAGCGCACCAAGATGTTGCCAGTGAGTGGCGGCTTCCATACCTGCCTCATGGAGCCGGCCGTGGAGCCCCTGGTGAAGATTCTAGGCACAATTAACATCAAGAAGCCACTGGTTGCTGTCCACTCCAACGTCAATGGGCATAAATACATGCACCCCCAACACATCCGGAAGCTGCTGGGGCAGCAGGTGATATCTCCGGTGAAATGGGAACAGACAATGCACTCTATCTATGAGCGGAAGAAGGGCACCGAGTTCCCCAGCACCTTTGAGGTAGGCCCAGGGCGGCAGCTGGGAAGCATCCTCAAGAGCTGCAACAGGCAGGCATGGAAGTACTACCACCACGTGGATGTGATGCAGACCAGTGTGGATCCTGACCTCTGAGGGCCTTGTGTGGAATGGCGCCAGGATGAGGCCATTCTGTACCTGCCCTCTTTCCTCAGACTTGAGGACAATGGTCACTGCAGTGTCAGCTGTGGCTAAGGCTTCCCTCAGAGCACAGCCCTTGAGCGCCACATTGTGTGACTCAACCCATCCCTACACCTGACAAGCTGTCTGGCTGCTGGGGGAAGGAATTCCCCCCAGACCACCTGCCCGACCAGCATGCTGCTCTGCCTCTGAACCCAACCATGCCCCTCAGTGAATCCAGGAAGGGCTAGCCTGGGGCAGCCTTAGACTTGCCCTGTTGGTGCTCTGGACACTGCTTGGCTCCAAACCAGGCCTGGTGCCAGAGGGGTTTTTCAGTCACCTGTGCCAGCTGCTCTCCCAGGGCCGAGATCATAGCTCCTTTGGCCTTCAGTCTGGCCAGTGGCCTTGGCAGCCACTTTGCCCTCTCCTCACTCAAGAGCTGGGAGATTGAGTACCATATACTGTCCATATCCAAGAAGCGCATATTAAGTGCCTGCTGTATGCCCTAGAATGGGTGGTCCCTCGCAGAGGAAACTTGGAGCATGGTGTAAGGTGTAGGGTGTATCTGGGCAAGGGCAGCCTGGGACCCTGGCTGCCTAGGCCAGCCCCAGTTCTTCCATGGAGAGACCCCCACCAGCACCAAGTTGTTCATGGGACAGTGGTCACTGAAGAATCAGCTGTGTATGGCTTCCCTCACAACACAGCCTGCTCCACAGCAGGAGTCGAGTGAAGCTCCTGGGGAGACGCCTGATAAATGTGAGCCTTTCTAAGCTGCCTGGCTGGCTTTCTCATTCAGTGATGCTGGGGAATCTCGGGGATGGAGCCCATTAACTTGTTGTTGGGGAGGCCTGCACCTAGTCTGGATAGCCTTCTCAGCAGGACTCGGCTGGCCTCTAGACAGGACCTGTCCTATTACTCAACTGTCCCCATTCTTGTGCAACTGGTTTTGGTCCTGGCCGGTGGTACTTGGGGCCTTGTGACCTCTAGATACCCTGTGGATCTCAACATGAGTGCAAGTGCAGCTTGCCCCACCCTGAGTGAGCACGCCTGTCCTAGCTGAGGCAGGAGAATGGCATCAAGCAGACAGAGCAACCCTTCTGTAAATGAGGATGATTCTGGAAAGCTATTAGCATTTGCTTGCAGGGGATTGACTCCTGTGGTTCTCTCTGGGCTCCTGACTGTCTGCAGGGTCGCTGCCACCTCAGAAGCTTGTGCTCACCTCTCCCGAGCGCAGCGTGAGGTCGACCTGAACTAGTGCATCCCACAGGACAGCACATAGGGAGTGGGGGTCCCACCGTGTGGCCACATGCAAGGCCCCAGATGCTCCCACAGCCTTGTCACCTGAGGGAAGGTGCCCCACTGTCCCAGAACCCTCCACCCCTCCTGGGGCCTGGGCAGGGGAGTGGTGTGTGTGAAGCTGCTGTGGAAAGGTGACAAGTGTCCACCCCCACCCTTGAGCAGGGCAGCAATCTTTGTTCTGCGGTCAGCAGGACTGCTCTCACCAAAGACGAGCCGGTGGCGCAGCTGGGGGCGGGGCTCTGGTGTTGAGTCTGGTGTCTTGAAAGAGGAGTACCCAAAGCAGGTGGCCTTTGTTCTCCCGAGCAACGTCCATGGACGCCCTGTGAGGCCTCGGGCAGCTGTGACAGGATGGGAGCTGGCACCCTACTGGGCCGGTGCCAACTCACAGAGATACCCAGGGCTTGGGAGCCGAGGCAAGCCTAGAGCAACCAGCTCTGATCTGCACCCCGAGAAGGGAGTACAGGTGCTCTGGGTGTGGCCTCAGTTTCCCACCGCCCGGAGTGAGGTTCCAGCTTGAGGGTCATAACTGCCTTGCTGAAGAGAGAGCCTAGAGCCCGTGGCCACATGGGTAGGAGGCTCACCGAGGCCCACGGGGCTGATGGTGGTCTGTGGGAAACATGGTGGGAACCGGAGGTGAGTGACATCTGCTTCCTTTGCCTAGCCCAGGGAGGCCCTTTCCTCCATCTCTAGAGCAGTGCTCATTCCTGCCGCCTCCACCTCCCCAACCCTGCTGCTGAAGGACTCAAAGCCACAGTGGAGTTAGCTCCTGTCCCAGGAGTAGCCAGCTTGACGGCCTCCCTGGTCACAGCCCTTTGGGTCACAGCGACCCTGCAGACAGCCAGGAGCCCAGAGAGAACCACAGGAGTCAATCCCCTGCAAGCAAATGTCCCACCAGCCAGTCTCCTGATCCTTGGTCTGGAAGCCAGGTGGCCCCATCCTCCCGGGGAAGGACACTGAGGCTGCGAGGTAAGGCCAAGGTGGTAACAGGCACCCAAGACAGCAGAGGGACTCAGCACAAGCACCTCACCCAGAACTGGGAAATTTGGGACAATTCAAGGACACATAATGAGGGCATTTGGGAGGGGGCCGGAGAAAGTGGCCGGCCCCTGAAGTCACAGCCACTGGTAGCTACGTAGGGAGGGCACTGTTTTGGGGTCTGATGGGAATGGGCAAAGTTCCAGACGGAGGCCCTGGTTGGTTAGAAAGAGAAGGGGCCAGGCCTGGGGGAGGTACTGAGCCCCAGTGGTGGCAGCCTGGACTCCTCCCTTGGTGTTCCTTGTGCAGTACACACCAACATCACAGGAGGCAGACAGACTTCCTCATCAGGATTCCAGGCAGAAGGGGACAAGACAGGACGGTGCTGTGGAGCTGGGCATGGTGGCACAGAGGCAGAGGCGGGCAGATCTCCGAGTTCGAGACCAGCCTGGTCTACACAGTGAGTTCCAGGACAGCCAGAGCTATGCAGAGAAACCCTGGGGGTGGGGTGGGGGGTGCTTATGGCCGTTGGGTGCAGGCAGGGTGCACAGGAATACGGACAGAGGCCACCCTTTCCCCCTCCACCATCTCTATCCAGTGTTTCGACAGCCCCCCACCCCCAGAGGACCAAAGGGGAGGCCGGCTGGAAACAACACTTTATTGAACTCTCCACCTCAAGGAATCTAGTCCAGTAGATTCTGTGCCTCAAGGCTTCACAAACAGGGGTGTGGCCAGCACTCCCCTGCCCTGGTGGCCACAGGACCAGCCTGCAGAGAGGAAGCAGGCAGGGGTCAAGAGAGAGGCCAGCCAGGCCTCAGGGGCATGTAGCCAGTAATGCCCCTGAGGTAGAGTGAATTCATTTGCCTTACAAAAACCCAGAAAACCTGTATGAAATCTCAGCACTATCCTGAGTTAAATATTAAAAAAAAGGGGGGTGGGTGGGGGGACTGTCAGAAAACACCACAGTTAGGGTGCCGGCACCTCTAGGGGGTGGTTGAGGGGCAGGGACCGGCCCTGGCCCCGCTGGGCTTCACTGAAGCTGCAAACGCAGGGCCTCGCCGCCCAGCAGCAAGAGAACCAACAGCACCATGGGAAACAGCTGTCCTCGGGCCTGGTCAGGTAACACCTGTGAGACCAAGAGAGGGAGAGTGAGGCCCAGGGACAGCTCCCGGGGCCTGTGAACAAGCCCCAAGGCACAAGTGGGGGATCTGGGACATGGCGTGAACATGGACATTCAACCAGTGGGGGTGAGCAGGGATGGCGGCCCTGAGACTGTGGCTGAGAGAGGGTCCTGTGTGCCAGAGGAAGGATGCCTGCCGCAGAGACCGGAAGGCGCTGCTGAGTGTGTACTTGAACCTTCCTGAGTTCGCCAGCCAGTCAAGCAGCGGCAGCACACACTAAGGCTCCTGGGACGGGGCAGGAGTTCAAAGAGGTGGGAAAGAGGCTCTAGGGAGGGGTGGGGACTGTGGCAAACCAGACAGTCCAGCTAAGGAGCTGCTGGCTGCCCTGTGGGCAGGGTAACATGGGGACTAGAGGCGTCAAGACTCTTACCCAGGTGCCAGGAGTCGGGACTCTCCAGGACCAAATGTTTTCCCTGAGGTTGGTGAGGCCACGAATCAGGCTCCTGAAAACGCCCCTGACCCCCGTCTGGCTGTAGGTGACAGCGAGTCTGTTAGACATGAGATGGGCAAAGTGGTTATTGTACGCCGGAAGCCTACACTTGTGACCCATTACGGTATGGCGCACAGAGCCTCTGTGCCCCTCGGACATCCTGCTCTCTCCACTAAGAAAGCCATGTCTTCCCAGACTTCTGGGTCTCTGCCCAGAACGGGCCACAAGGAGCATCCCCACTCTGAAAGGCCCCCTGAGTAAGTCGCTACCTATACCTGTCCTCCTGGGAGACCAACCGAAGGGCTGCCTCTGAGGCCTGGCCCACACTGGGAGTTGGGCCTTCTCAGGACCGTCCAGCTTGATGAGGGGCAACAGAAAGACCCTGGGTGATGCTTAATCTGCTGCGGCCAGAGGGGAGGTTGGGGGACCCAGGTGGCGGCTGGGAAGCAAAGGGTTCCAAGCTTGCTTGGGCGCTCCCACACTACTTCCATGGTTTGCAGGGTGCCCTTGGGGCCCAGTCCTGGGCTGGTTCTGGCTCTGCCTGCCCACGTGGGCAGCTGGTTACCTGTGCATGGCAATCCCGGGCAGCTGGGCCAGACGGGGGCTCCGCAGACACAGGTCCATCTCATCACCGATGTAGGCCAGCCTCAGGGCCACCTGGTTTCTGCAGGAAGGCACAGGGAAGTTTGGTGTGGTTATGCTGGGTGGCCATACCACCCACCCATCCCAGTTCCTGTGGGACTCAAGGCCCCGAGAGAGGAGGGCAATGGGACACCGGTGGCCAGCAGCAACCTTCTTGGTGTCCCTCTCATCCATGAGTACACTTTGGAGTAAAGACCATTTCAAATGGGCCCCTGCAGGACAGGCCACAGGCTGAGACATCGGGCAGAAGGGCCAATAAGGGACCTACTCCATGGGGCCTGTACCCCATGTCCGCCTTTTGTGGAACTCAGACACACATTAATGCCAGGAGTGTCTCATGAACCTGCCTGGAAGCCAGGGACAACTTACCCCAGAAAAACCATCACCCCACCTTTCCCCTAGAGGATCTTGGGAGGGGGGCTCCCTGGTGGGCTTTGATGGTATCAGTGGATGGTAGGAGTAGTGGGGGGGTGCTCTGAGCCCCCTTCAGGGTCTCAGTTTATCTTCCTGCTCCAAGACCTGCTCCTGGTTCCCAGTGCTGAAATACTGTGTCTGCGCCCTCTGCAGATGGAGAGTGGCTAACCACACTTGCTAAACCGATTCCCAAGTGAGCCAGGCATGATGGTGCATGCCTTCAATTTAAAGAAACTCTCAGGAACTGGCCAGATGGCTCAGCAGTTAATAAAAAGCACTTGTTGCTCTTGCAGAAGACCCAGGTTCGACTCCCAGCACCCATGTGGTTGTTTACAACCATCTGTAACTCTAGTTCCAGGGGATCCGACACCCTCTTCTGAGTTCTGGAGGCACCAGGAGTGTGCTCAGTGCACAGACATATGTGCAGGCAAGCACTCGTGCACATAAAATAAATGTTAAAAATTGTGAAAAATTCTCTAGCGAAATGGGAGACACACATGTGTGTGCATGGTGAATGCACGTACACTGTACTGGCTGGTTTTGTGTGTCAACTTGACACAAGCTCGAGTTACCAGAGAGGAAGGAGCCTCAGTTGAGGAAACGCTTCTGTAAGATCCAGCTCTAAGGCATTTTCTCAATTAGTGATCAATGGGGAAGGGCCCAGGCCATGGGGCGGGGGGTAGTGCCATCCCTGGGCTGGTGGTCTTGAGTTGTATAAGAAAGCAGACTGAGCAAGCCATGTGAAGCAGGCCAGTAAGCAGCACCCATCCATGGCCTCTGTATCAGCTCCTGCCTCCGGGATCCTGCCCTGTTGGAGTTCCTGTCCTGACTTCCTTCAGTGATGAACAGCAATGCTGAAGTGTAAGCCTTATAAACGCTTTCCTCCCCAGCTTGCTCTTTGGTCATGGTGTTTCACTGCATTAATAGAAACCCTAACTAAGACGTATACACACCGAAACCAGCCTGATTAAGCCCTTTCTGGGGTTTGCCCGAACATTCCACCCCAGTGACTCAGCAGCTCACTGGAAAGTCCCTGCAGAGGGGACCCTAGGGGCCATCCGCCCCACCCAGCAAAGCCCTGGCCATCTGCACCACTGACCCAGTGTCCCGGGTCTACTCCCGATTCTGATGGTAAGAAGAGTGTGAGGAGCCTGGAAGGTTGTCTAGCAACCAGGTTGGGAAGTTTTGGTTCCACTTGATACCCTGGGAGACCCCAGGACAACACTGTCCCAGGCTTCACCTCCCTCGGGAATGGAGCAGGAAGTGAGAAACAGACATCCGAATAGCCCCATTTTAATTCCACAACCAGAGTAACAGAACCCAGAAGCTGAGGGCACACATGCAGAGGCTGTGCTGACCCGCCTGTGTGCAGAAGGACCCGCCCTGGTCAGTATGCTCAGTTTCTGCTGCGAAGTGAGTGGTGGGTCTCACAGCCTGAGCAAGGAGGGACCTTGCCTTCTCTATCTGGACATAGTGGCACCAACAGACATGCCCCCTCCTAGTGAAGCCAGATGGCCCAGGTTGCAGTGTGTTGGTCCTGAGGGAGCCCTGTTCTCTCCCACCCTGCCTCAACATCCCCCCCTCCCCACACACACACTCCTGCTCTATACAGAAGGTGCTGTTTCAACCCATGTCCAGAGGAGGGCGCTGGTCAACGGGCCCCACCTGTCCTCCAGGCACTCCGCAAGGTCCAGGTCTCTCACAGGACTAATATTTTCTTCCTCCACGGGCTCCTTCATGCTGGGAGCCCCAGGAGCCACTGGAGGTCGGGGGACCTGGTCATGCAAGACAGTCTTGATGAGGTCTCTGGCCATGAGTCTTGCCTCCGACATGTCTTCTGTGGGATAAAATAGACCGAGTGTGACTAGATTCCTCAGAACTGTGCACTGGGGGCAACACCCGACCAAAGTATGCACTTGGGGGAGCTGCACAGCCTTGAAATCTGAATGTTCCTGACCCTCTCCTGCCCCTGGAATGAGTCCCAGAAACCAGAGCTGCCATCACCAAGGCCATTCACACAAGCTGGACTACCTCTCCCAAGGCAAGCCATAAAGCCTTGAGTCCCTCTGTCCCTGTCCTTGAAGACCAGGAAGCCCCAAGAATCTGAACAGACTCCTCACTGCTCCCACCCCAGTCTGTCACAAGAGTGTGCTCTACCCTTTGTCCAGCCACAGCTCTGCACACACTGCCCAGTCACCAGACCTGAGCATCAAACCCAGTTTCTCCAAGAGCTGAGAGAAAGTATGAACCATGAAGTGCTCGTCTTCACCATGCAAATGCAAGAACCTGACTTAGGATCTCCAGAACCCAAGGCTGGGCACAGTGCTGGGGAGCTGGAAACACGCTCCCTGGGACTTGCTGGCCAGCCATCTCCGCTTCATCAAGGAGCCCCGGGTTCTAGATCCTGTCTCAGAAACCCAAGTCAGGGCTGGAGGCAGGGCTCAAGTCATTCAGAATGTGTACTACTCTTGCAGAGGCCCAGAGGTTCGATTCCCAGCATCCACATTATCAGCTCACAACCACATGTAATTCCAGTTCCAGGAGACCAGAAGCCCTTTTACCCTCTAAGGGCACCCACACTATCATCATGCACATACCCACACCCCCCAACACATACACAACTACAAATAAATCTTAGGGGAAAAAACTCAAGGTGGAAAGCTCCTGGAAAACAGCACCCAATATTGACCTCTGGCCTCCACATACATGCACGCACATGTACACACACACATGTGCATGCACACCCCCACACAACACAGTCATACACACATAATTTCCCCAGGTCTCCAGGTGTTCGTGTGTAAAGGCTCCCCTGAGATGGAAACAGAGATGTCACTTTCCTTTCTCTGTCTGTGATCGGGACATGGGCCATGAGCCCTGTAATGGGGGAAGATGTCTGACTTGGCTGCCCTACACCTAAGAATGACCTTCTTGCCTCAGTGGCCATTCCTTCTGAGCTGTTCGAACCATTCTCCAGCTCTGCAGCCTCAGCAGCTTCCCGAGTCCTGCTCTACACAGACTGTGTGTCTTAGCACATCACCAAGACCTGGGGCTCTGAAATGAGAGGATGCTCACTCGGGGCCCTGGCTGTCCCCTACTGTAAGTACGAGGGCGCCCAGCTCTGTTCTTCCGGACAGAGGAAAGTCAGGCACCCTGCCCACAAAGGGACTGAAGCGAGTTCCCCGGGGTGAGCGACTCCTCGGCCATGTGAAGAGCACACCTAGTCGGTTCTGTTGCTTTTGTCCTGGGCACAGAACTTGAACCTTGTGCAAGATCAGATCGGGTAGACAGTGGGGTGGTGGGGTGGTGCACACCTTTGATCCCAGCACTCAGGAGGCAGAGGCAGATGGATTTCTTTGAGTTGGAGGCCAGCCTGGGCTACAGAGTGAGTTCCAGGACAGCCAGGGCTACACAGAGAAACCCTGTCTTGAAAAACAATGAAAGGTAGACTAGACAGTGTGCTGCCACTGGATTGCAGCTGCAGCCTCACACTCTTCACGTGTTTATTATTTTTATTTGTTTGTTTGTTTGTTTGTTTCAGTGTGTGTGGATGGTAGAGGAGGGCACACGCCACACTGCACACATGGAGGGCAGAAGGGCAGGAGACAGCTCCGTGGAGTTAGTTCTCTCCTTCCATCCTCACACAGCTTCTAGGAACCAAACTCAGGTCTCCAGGTCCTGCATAGCAAGCATCTTACCCTGGGCCATCTCTCGAGCCTTCAACACCCCCCACCCCACTTTTCTTGAGATAAGGTTTCTCTTGCACAGCCCTGACTGTTCTGGAACTCGCTCTGTAGACCAGGCCAGCCTTGAACTCAGAGATCTGCCTGCTTTTGCGTCCTGAATTTGAGGATTAAAGGGGTGTGCCACTATGCCCCCCCCCTTTTATGTCTACTATTGCTCTGGAATAATAAAGGCAAATGGGCAAAATAAGACGAGAATTCTCCATGATCCCACAATCCCTCGCTGGCCAATCTTTCCTCTAAACGCATCTGTAGCCATACATGCATCTTCAAGACGAAAGTGGCCACACGGTGCTTCACAGCCCCCTCTCCCTCGAGCTCCTGACAGAGGCTTCATTTTACTCTCTCATTATCCCTCAACTTTTTTTTTTTTTTTTTTTTTTTGAGACAGGGTTTCTCTGTGAAACAGTCCTGGCTATCCTGGAACTCACTCTGTAGACCAGGCTGGCCTTGAACTCACGGAGATCCACCTGCTTCTGCCTCCCGAGTGCTGGGATTAAAGGCGTGCGCTGCTGCTGCCGCCGCCGCCCCGCCGCTGCCCAGCTTCATCCCTCGACTTTTGCTCAGACTACTCTTGTGCACCCTCAGATATGGGGCCCATCGAGACCCTTTTACACACTCCCTTGCCCAGCATCCCTTGCAGTGCTGACCATGTGACCAAGTCTGGCCGGTGAGGTCTCAGAGAAGTTGGACACAGGGTTGGAAGAAAGGAAGCCGGGGCCGGGCTCGTGTCACGGGGACCCAGGACACAAACACCACTGCCTGAACTTTTGCAGGCCATGCTGCACCAGGTGGAACTTTCTGCCACCGCCACAGCGTCCCCATGTCTGAAGAATGCCGCTGTCCTGGGACAAGGAGTATTACAGGCAACAAGGGTCCTTCACACAGGACAACCACATCTTGCCCCTAAAACTGGTGTAACAGGACCCTGTGTGTTTGGGATTATCTTATATTTTCTATCCAGAGAAAGATATGTGATTACCCCAGAGACCTTCTCGGCCATATCAGTAGCAGGGTTCATTGTCTATGTGATGAAGAAACGTGGTATCTCTACTGGAGAATTCTGATAAACGTTTTCGTTTTTGTTTCTCTGTGTAGTCCTGGCTGTCCTGGAACTCGCTCTGCAGACCAGGCTGGCCTCGAACTCAGGGATCTGCCTGCTTCTGCTTCCCGAGTGCTGGGGTTGAAGGTGAGTGCCACCACTGCCCAGCTTATTGATAAGCCTAATGAACATAAAATTGCTGAACTAGAAGTAAAGCAGGTCGACCATCAAGCCAATCCTGGATCCAGTTTACATGGAGAAGGTACAGCAGGCGCTGGTTCAGAAGCGCCAATACCTCTTTGACACGGCCTTGGAGGTCACCTCCTGGGAACAGCTACACAGAACGTGTACGGAGGTAAAGAGTCGCCTGGACTACCATTTCTCTGTACAGGACATGATGTGCGGCACGTGGTGCAGAGCATCTCTCTGCATGGCAGGCAAGGGAGACAGCTGCCCAGTGCATTGTGGGTCTAAAAGCCGCTTGAAAAGAAGGCTCAAGGGCAGCCAGCTGTGTGAGCATTATCTACCTCAACTGAGACAGGGGGAGAGAGTTAACTAAAGGGGGACTAGTCTGTGTGACGAACTCTTCTGTATGTCATCTATTGAAATTACAGCGTACCCTTCCTAAGACATGATCGAGGTTCACTTAGTGGCTTAAACCCACTGGCCAGTCAGCAGGTCTCTCTGCTCTTGCTCTGCATCTGGAATTGACTAGTGGTTGCTCTTGCATAAGCAATTGGCAGCAACTTGCTGCCCGACTGAAATGAACAAGTTATGAATTTGTAAGTAGTTATACCACCTTGCAATGAAGTGACAATTCAAACAGAAGCAAAAAAAAAAAAAAAGGGGGGGGGGAGGAATGGTCCAGACCAGGGCAGCTTCCCTCCTGAGGCAGGAGGATCTCTCTGAGTTCGAGGCCAGCCTGATTTACAAAATGAATTCCAGGACAACAAGGGCTATGCAGAGAAATCTTGTCTTGAAAATCCACAAAATAAAGGAGGTAGGGGAGCAATGAGCAGCCCTAAGAATCCAAAATTCAAAACTCTGAGCCCCAACATCACATCACATCACATTACATGTGTGATGTCTCAGAGTATGGAACTTTATCCCACACATAGACTCACTTAATATTCCATATAAATTACCTTCACCTCATACGTGAAAGTGCATAGGAGAGGAACCTGAATTTCATGAGTAGATTCTGACCTCATCCCCAAGTTGGCTCTTTTGTATGTATGTATGTACATGCATGTGCGTGCATGCGTGCGTGTGTGCATGCGTGCGTGTTGTGTGTATGTGTGTGTGTGTGTGTGTACAAGTGTGCATGAAAAGGCCAGAAGTTGGGGGCTGGAAAGATGGCTCAGAGGTTCAGAGCACCGACTGCTCTTCCAGAGGTCCCGAGTTCAATTCCCAGCAACCACATGGAGGCTCACAACCACCTGTGATGAGATCCACCTTATTTTTTGAGACAGAGCCCTTCACTTGGACCTAGAGTCGTTTCTGCTAGCCTGGCTGGACAGCAAGCCCCAGGGATCCCCGTCTCTAGGATTGCAGGCTTGCAGAGCCAGGCTTGGCTTTCGGTGTTGGTGCTGAGGATACCAACAGCCATCTCCCGTGCCCCAGCCCTCGATGTATTTCATTCTATATAAGCAGATGGTATCTCAACTCCAAAACACTCTGGTGCCCATCCTGAGACTGTACAAAGGCCATGCTGGCGGCTTGAGCCTGCATACCTATCCTGCACTAGGCTGTGTCCAGAGTGTTTGTGGAGATTCCCTTATTTCACCTCCCAACAACCGAGTGAGGGGCAGAGCACAATACCCTGGTTCATCCCCAGCAATACGCACAGACACACAAGAACCAACCTAAATGTGATTTTCCCGTCAAAGAGAACACCAGGTCTTGAAAAAGTTCATTGCCTGAGCTGAGAATGGACAGTGACCCAAGACTTCCCATCCCTAGGCAAGACAGACCGGTGTCCACTATAAAGTGGACTGACGGCAGGCACACAGCCATCCTCCCGAGGACACCCGAGGCTAAACACCAAAGCGT